TAGGATTTTAGGTTGTATGTACAGAAATATTGAATACAAGTCTAGAGAGGTTATAATTTCATTGTATAGGTTAAGCCAAATTTAGAGTATTGTGTTCAGTGTTTGTTTGTAATTAAGCACAAAGCTACACAATGGGTGATATGTGCTCTGCCAACCACGGGTATCGAAACCCAGATTCTAGTATTGTAAGTCCGCAGACATACCGCCATGCCACTGGGGGCTTGTGTTCAGTGAGCTCCTTACGTAAGCAAGGACATTGAATTGCTGGACAGGGTTCAGAGGGGGGTTACTAGTGAAGCAATTGGATATTTTTGAATTGCTTCAGTATTTTTAGCATTTTAAAAGAATTTAAGAAAGAAGTTATAACAATTCTCTGAGTTTTCAAGTGAACATATACATGAAGAAATGGTGTAAAAGATGCCTATATAACAAAATAAGGTCAAGAGCTTGGAAAGTACAGCTAGCTGGTTAAGTGATATTCAGAATCACGAGTTAAGATTCATAAAAAATGAGAATGTTGAGAAAAATGCTAAACAATAAGTTTGACAGTGATAAATTACTAATGCCTAGTAGTACAATAAAGGTTACTAAAACGTTTATGATAACATCTCAAATCAGCGCTTTGATGCGAGATCTGTTACTCCAGACCAGTGTAATAGTACAAGTACAAGAGGCAACCGGAGCACTTTCCATCACAGCAACCAATTACTTGAGAGTTTTGGTTCTTGTTTTATAATAGCCTGAGAAGTTGCAAAGATTGACCAATAAGGTGTTAGAACTACTTGCGAGTAGTTAGGAATACTATTTGGAAGATCAAAAGAATACAAAGAAAATATGGTTTAAAAACTCATGTTTGGAGCTAAAAATCAGTTATCTCCATGAAGAATTGAGAGTTCTCTCCAGAAAGAATTGAGATTCTCCCCAGAGTAACTGATAAGATAGAAGCTATGAAGGTTTCTCAACTGCGAAGATTTACCAGATCAACTGTGTTCTAAGTAATGAAACTATTTCTCTCTTAATCAATTAATGTGAATTGGACAGACTCTAAAGAAGAATATAAAAGCTAAGAAACTTGGTGTTAGGTATGAGTTATAAGTATTAGTGTTGTTAACCCAAATGTATTTTTCTTTTATAAAGAGTTAATAAATGATTAAAGAAGTGTATTTTATGTTAAGAAACTTAAATAAATTTGATGTATTGTTTTTAACATCAGTCTCAGGATCAGTTTCTTTAGTCTAACCATAAATCTCCTCGAGTTAGGGACTTGTGAGCTCCACTCGCCACTGCAAACCTCAAATAAATAAATTTGGTGTAATCTACAGTATAGTCGAAACTCCAACGACTAGTCCTAAGGGTGCTGTCCATTACACTAAAATGGTGCCTGAGATGGAGGGGTTGAGATCTCTCAAATTGTTTTCTCTTGAAAAAAAGAAGAGTTAAAGGGGATTTGATTGAGGTGTTTAAGATTGTAAAGGGAATTGATAGTGTTGATGTATCATCTTTTTTCATATTTAACAGTGAGAATAGTAGGACTAGGGGACACAAATATAAATTTTGTCAAGGTAGGAGTCATCTTCAGCTAAGACAGTTTTATTTTTCTAGCAGGGTGGTTGGTATTTGGAATGGGTTGCCTTTGGATGTTGTGGAGGCAGTAAATTTAAGTGAGCTTAAGAGAAAGCTTGATAACTATATGAATGATAAAGGCTGGCTTTAAGATTTTTTTTAATTTATGTATTTAATAGTTTTAATTTAGGTTAGAGAATGGGACAGCTGAGACTGACCAATAGATCCCTTAATTGTTGTTCCAAAACATTATGTTATGTAAGAAAATTACAAAAATTTTGGAATACCCACTCTGTAATACAAGGATAAAATCCTGTTTTCCTTGTGATCAGTAAGCAAAAATTATTTGTGGATTTTGTGAAGTCACTAAAATATTCACTACTTACTGTTATTAAGTTTTCAGGTTCCTTCTTCTATTTAAGGCTAGGTAAAAATGGTAGTTTGATCATTACTTGAAATATTCTATTTCTACCACTTCCTTATTATTACTAAAATAATCCAATTGATCATAAACAAATTCCTCACCTATTCCTTCCATCATAATTATGTTATTGTGTATTCAAAATTTTTAGTGTAAGTGTATACAGGGACGTGGCATGTATGTGACCTTTGCAATGCTAATAAAAAGGAAAATCACAGAGTGTAAAAGCTCTTATAAATAAACGTTAATGGTTTCTTCATTTGAATCAAAACTATTAAAAAAAAGTAATCTATGGCTGCATGTACAAGTGTTTTCCAAATCACATAGTTAGAGCTAGATCAAAATTGCTCATTATCTTAGATGAAGCGCAGATTTATCTAATCAACTGCAAGTACAACAAATATGCTATTGATTTTATAAGAAGTAATTTGAAAAATGACAAATTTGAGAACAGTTTCTTATACAACAGACATAAAGAGAGAGTGACAAGGAAAAGCTGCAGATGCAAAGAGTTGCTTAAAATGACAATTAATCTAACATTCCAAAGAAAGCAAGTCCAAAAAAAATATTCTTAGAAAAACTTTCTATTGCAGTGATGCCTACATGTGAAGAAATATCACAATCTATTTCTAGTCATTCCTCTCATTTTGGCAGATGATAATCTCTACCAAATTTCTTAAATCAAAGTTGAGTTTACTTTCAGACATCAATCACTAAATTTGATTGTTACTATATCATTCAAAATTAGAACTATCAGACAAGGTACATCAGATACTAAATAAAAAAAATATATATTCAGGCTCAAAAAAACAATTCAAAGATGTTCATGAAAGATGCATACAATGTTCTGTAGTTTTAAAAACACTTCTAGTTTGTTTAATACCATTCACTAACAAAATGATCCTAATAATGATTTGGAAACTTTTAGCATCATTATCTATATAAATAATATGCTTGCATTTGTCCTTCTGGAACTTTTCTCGCAAAATCCTCGATCTAACATTGTAAATCTCATATCTTTAGAAAGGCGTTTGTCCAAAGAGTCTAGATTGCATATCTGCTTTTCAATTCAGAATCACCTTACCTGTTTTTAGCTGGCACAATGTCATTGTCACCACATGACAACTGGCTTTGATCTCAACTTTTGCTTTTTTTCTTATTTGCATAGTATATCAAACAAACAACACTTAACCTGCATGTAATTTCTTAAAATACACTAAATACAATGCCTATGGGCTTTTTCAACTTATTTAGGTATCAAATTTGCATGCACATTTCATTTAAAACCATATGCTTATCACTTTGTGAACACACATTCAGAAGTTTCTACATATTCAGCTAAGTTTGCCTTCATTACAACTTTACATTTACAAGAACTTAACTTTGGCTCATTTCATAGACTGTTATAAACACCTTTTTTCTTTAGTACAGGTTTTATTCTTCATTTTTGTGAGTTTCTTTGTTTCAACTCGTAAAACCATGTCATACACTGAATGCTCAAAACTGTTTCATACTCTATTATAAATATCAATACTTTAATTTATTGTTTACCTTACATGTAGTTTTATTAAATAAAACTACGTATGTGTAGATTTATTAAGTTATGTCTACATGAGGTTGTTCATCTGACTTTGTAAAATATTTTCAAATAGACCAGGATTTTTTCAATCTTAACACATAATGCCTGTAAGAAAGCATAGCTTAAATGTCATGTGTGAAAATGATAGAATAAAGAATTTTCAAGCAAAGAGCATCAAGACTACCTCAAATGTTTTGCAGGTCGTGGCTAGTGAAAATATAGTTCTTAAACAATAAATTTTTATTTTATTCGCTTAAACTTACTCTGTTGGTGATATAATATGACTGGTCCTTTGAAACCCTTCACATTTATGATCTGCTGGATGGCGATGTTTCAAACAAAAGTTTTGCTTACATTGACTACAGATTACAGGAATAAGCTGAAATAAAAAAAATATTCTGAGACATTAAGTCATAAATTAGTGCTAACAAACTCAACTGAAGTGGTAAAAAGCATTAACAGTGTTTTTAAAGCAAAGCAAGAGTTTATACAACACTTAAGAAATATATATGGCACACTTATAAAACTTCAACACCTGTACATTTACAAACTACTTAAGTCAGGTTTTGTGCTTATATATTACTATAAGATTTTGAAGATAATAGATACTTCTACTATACACCAGTTTCATCAATAATAAAGCTTTCTAAAAACAAGATAGAAATGTTAAGAAAGACAAAATAAATAAAAAATGGTCAAAACACCTACTTGTCAGGCAGCATTGTTGGTTTAAATCCCACCCATTCACAGTTTTCTGAATAAAAATCTATAATTTAATAGAACAGTGTGCTGTGCCTCCCTTAAAATTTCTTAAACACAGTAATTTATCATAAAAGTATGAAACGTAATGGAACATTTTAATAGAATATCTTAAATTTTATACAACAGATGAAAAGTTAAATGAAATCTAAGTTCCTATTAACTGTGCAGTTGCTATGACTTAAGTTTTAACTTCAATGGTTGAGATGGGCACTTAATTGATCAATAACCTTTGAGTATTGCTTACAAAGATTAATGTCACATAAAATAATCAATTAATTCAAATTATGACTAAATCAATTAATGTCACAAAAATTATCAACTAATCAAAATTAGTTTCCAGTTATTACTGTTTTCAATTATTCCAGCAAACAAAGTAATCAAAATATTGCCATTATTTCTTATCATTTTTGATTAATTCAAAGTTGTTCATCTTAATTGAGAAATGACTCACTAAATAAGCTACTCAAACCTAATGTTTATGATTATTCCGACTATCCAAGTCTTGTGCGAGAATAACTGATTGTCCAATGATTAATTATCAAATTCCATTAATCACTCAGCTCTTGTTGGAAAGTACTTGGTAGGACTTTTAAGCAATCACAGTCGTTTACAAATTAAACAGCCCATTAACTTTAATTCAGTATGTTGTATTAAAATGAATATCTTAATTCAATCACAGCTGCTCAGAAATACATATCACTGAATAATACGGTACAAATTATTTTTGGGGTAAGTTCCTCAAACAAAAACTATCATTAAACCACTTGACATTTCATAATTAAGGTGGTTTTAGTACCTGTTGTTTTTAGGAACTTGTTTTCAAAGTTTAATAAAATCTCAGTTTAACTTTTTATGTAAAAAAAATTACACAACTACACTGACAGTACAGCATTAATTTCTGAAAAAAATCTAAAAAAAGAAAATGACCTTATAAATTGAAAATGTAACCATTAATATAAAAGTTTAAAACATGACACCCTTAAGCTAACCTAGAAATAAGTGAAAGAGTGATATACTGTAGTAATATTAACAATTTTTTCACCTACAATAAAGTTTAGCTCACTTGTTAAAAGACTCACCTGGTGTACAAGTGGTCTCAGGATCAAATCCAAGGAAATAAAACAGAAACTGCTAGAAGATAAAGTGGTACCCAACATGGGGTTTGTTTTTGATAGTGGAATTTTAAGTAGTTGGCAAGTCAGTAATGTTTCTTACCAATGCAAAGAAATTCTGATTGTTATTCAAGACCTTAGTGTGATGAAACAGATAGTGAATTGACAAATAGTTGAGTTTTTTAAAGTATGCCTGATGGATCTTATACTATAACAAAACAATATTACCAACTGGTAATAATGGTTGAGGCTGGAACTCAGGGTAATGCTGAAGACATTGTATTTATCAAAATATAGAAAAAATGTAGAAAAAGTTGCTTGATAGTATTATTGATACTATTATTATTATTACTATAAGTAATATGCTAAAGCAAAAACTACTATTTCTTAAATGTAACACTGATAAAATACAAAGAATCAAGAACTTCTAGCTGTTTGACAATCTGAAATGCGTGGTTGTAAAATGTAAATTTCTGGAAGATGAGAATACCACAACAAAGCAAAGAGCAAAACTACTACAGAACTATGATAATTCAACTATTAGATTAATTGACGCTCTTGAACTATATGGAAGACTAGACCATTTGAAAATTTCTAGGGTGCTATTCACTGAAAATGAGGATATGAATGAAATTGTAAAGAAAGTTGCACACTGATGCCAGGGGATACTAATACAGTTCATAAACTCCCTAAGCCTAGATCAGGTGGTATACCATTTATTACAGTAAAATCTGTACACTGTAATACTAAAACAAACATTTTAGGCAGGCAGGAAACAAGCTAGAACTGTGTATGTACTTAGTTATTCATCTTATCAGAAAATACTCTTAAGTGAAAACCTCATGCAAACAAGCATGAATTATATTATCAGTGTAATTTATTAAAAAATTGGAAGAACATAAAAAACTTGTGGACCAGATTTGTTAAAACTGTAAGAAATGACACAATTGAGATATTACCAATTTCGTCTGTCGCTGACCTGTTTAGATTTTAAGTAGCAAATTTTGACAAATGTGATACAAGATTTATCTGCTTATTAACTGATTAGTTATCCATATTCTCAAAGTTTGAAAACAAGTAAAGTTAACTAGAATTGCATTTACTGTGATATCTGTTATCACTGGTGTCACTTGAACTGTACTCATTTTCTATAAATTAATTCAAGAGTTTTACTATTTCTAATGAGCAATGCTTTAGTAAAAAATGCATTGATAGTATATTACCATTTCAGGTTACTGATAATGATGAAATATAAATTTTCAATATTGTAAGAGATATCAGTAACTTAACTAATCTACCTTGTTTACTGAATGTCCCAAAGCATGACAATTAAAACCCTGACCACTGCATCAGTAATACAAAACCGAAAATTTGGCTGAAGTATTTCAGAAAAATGACTTATTTATTAAACATTTTAACACATGGAGTGTCAGTAAAAACTTACTAGAAATGAAAAAATATTCCATAAAGTTCCATGCCTTTCTGAAATAATTGCTATTTCTGAATCTAAACTTAATGATAATATTAATTACAGTATAGATACATGGTGAGATGGGGTTAATTATTCTCAAAAATTTTAAATTGAATACTATGCAAGACATTCAGTTAATTTCTAATTGTGAAAATGTAAGAGTTGAACTTCAAAGTGAACAAAGAATTTAAAAAGATTGTAATTGCAATAATACATTGTCATCCAAATCATTCTATAGAGCAATCTGAACAACAATTATATTCAAAAAATTAATATTATGTTATATTTATGGTGAAAAATATTGATTTTCACAAGTCTGATACTAATAATCACATCAGTTGTTACTTAAATACTGTTTTTTTTTCTGGAAGATGTATTCCCCTATTTGCTAGACCAATTAGAATCATATCAACAAGTCACAATTGATCATATCTGTACCAACAATGCTCTTAAATCAGATTACAACTGGTATAGCTCATGATGCATCTAATGAACAACCAATATTTGTTCTGATTAAATCTTTCAAGTTATTCAAATATTCTGGGATATGAGAAAATTAAAAGGAAGATGAATATAATGAAGACTTATTGTTCACTTAATGTAAAAATAGGTGGTATAAATGAAGCCATTAAAGAACTTTATTCTTCTATTTCTGTAATGGAATGTAGCTCTAAGAACAATAACAAGGAAATAAAATAGACTTAAAAACTAAGCCATGGATAACTAGTTATATTAAACTTTATCAAACCTTGACATAAACTGCATCAAATATACTAGTGACATGGCAATTAAAAAAAAAACAGCAACAGATTTTAATAATTACCGAAATACACTCAATCACATTAATGAAATTTCTAAAAGATCATGTTACAATAAATATTTAACAAATACTAAAATTGATATAAAAAAAGAAGCTGGAAGCCTATTGTTACGACAGCGGAAGTCACGAGACACTGGGAGCATGCATGCTGGGGTTTTTAGAAGGATCATGATTTATTGAGGAACCCCACGAATAACCGAGTGTTTGCCAGGCACCCTCTTTTTTAGTATATAAGCCCAGCAAATAAAACCAGTGATAAAAGAGATATAGATAGATTGAAGAGATAATTAATTGAGTCAAGCAAACAGTAGGCACTGTAAGTAAAGTGTGTGAATCACTGCGATTTATAGCGTGTGTTATAAAGGTTGTTAAGTCTAAAGTGACTGTGGAAATTCTGTGTATTACAAAAAGTTGTATCAAGAAAGAATAAACTAGTTTTAATTAAGAAAGGACTTGTATCGCTGAAGTTCCTCGAAAAGAATTTATACCGGAAATTAACAAATGACCAGATATGTACCATTATTAATAAAACAATTAAGATTAAAAATGATGTTTGTTTGTGTGTGCACGCACGCACCTAGGAACAGTTTATTCAAATAACACAAAATTAATTATTACTACTCCAGCTGAAATTTGTAGTATTTATACTTACTCTAGGAAAAAATATGGCATTATTACTAGAAACCTCAACCAGTGGATTTGAAAGTTTTCTTTATAAGGCTACAGGCCTTTAAGGCACACTCAACAAGGTTATTAAAATTGTTCGTTGTTCCAGCTTCTAGTCTGTGTGATTTATATGACAACTGTTTAGTAATGGGTCATTACACAATTGTCTTGAAGATAGTTAAAGTAATTTCTATACTTACATCAGATTGTATGCATACTATATCTAATTATAAGCTTATCCCCTTTTTGTAAAGTTCTTTTAAAAGTTAATTTATGCTAGAATGGAATCATTTAACAGTTAATACTATTATAAACAAATATCAATTTGGCTTTTATAAAAAAATTACTCTACTGTTCTTGCAGTGTCAAAGATTTATGATATATTACTGAAATCTTTTGATTCTGGTAAGGTGACTTGTGTTTGTTTTAGACCTAGCATAGGCCTTCAATACTGTGAAAAATAACATTTCTTGTTTAAATATATCATTATGGTATACAAGGTGTTGCTTTGAATATATTTAAAAAGTTATCTAAATAAAAAAGAAGATAAACATCGGCTAATACTTTCAGTCTGATAGCTGACATATAATTTGTGGAGTTCCATATGTATATACCTTAGAAACATTTTTATTCTTTACTTATATAAACAATTTAGCATATGACAATTCAATATAACATTAGACTATATGGTGATGATACTAACATATTTATGACTGGTAATAACTTAATGGATTTATAACATGGAAATATTTAATATAGATAAATGATGTTAGCAAATAAACTTTCTATAAACTTAAATAAAACTAAATACATTAATGTTATATAAAAAATAAATACATTCATTTTGAAATGAAAATTAAAATACGTTAAATATCTGGGAGTCATTAGTGAAAATAAATTAAACTGGAAACAACATATAAAGGTTATTAGTACTAAATTGTTAAAACCTACTGGTATTACATCGAAATTGGGGTAGTATGGCAAGTATGAAATTTTACTGATGGTTTATACCCTTCTATAATCCTAAATTAACTGTGCAATTATGAGCTAGAATTCAGCTAATATTAGAAACCTATATCCAGTCAATATTTTTCACAGTAAAATCATAATATGAAATTTGGATCACAGATGGACCATGCAACACCATACTATTTGGTTTCAAATATCCTGAAAATCAGTGATGTTTGTATATTAGAATTAGCAAAATTTATGTATAAATTTAAAAATGTTCTAATTTTCAAAAATTAGTTTTTCAAGACCATGTTACAAGGCTAGCTGCTTCAAATAGTTTTCATCTGGCTAGATGACTTACATATTTAGGTCAAAGGTCAGTTATTTTACTTCTTAAATCTCTTAAAGGAATAATATGTTAACACATATTTACTAGTTATTTTTATGTTTCATGTAATGTAACAACACAAGTTTATGTAGAGTTCAGTTTAAATAATCATTGAAAGTGTGGTTGACAACATAACCATTTGGTCTTGTCACCATCTTGCACTTAAGATAATTAATGGTAATCATTACAGTAATTTTGTTACTTCCTCATAAATGCAAATAAAAATTTTGTTTTTGTGCTTTGATAACTTCATAATGTCATCTAATTTTATTACAGACATTGTTGCTTTGTTTTTACAACAGAACATTTCCTGTCATCAAAGATGCTGTCAGTACATAAAGTAACATACATCACTTACCTCCTTTTGTTTACAACCTTTAAGAGAACACCGATTTGTATAGATCTGAAAATAATACATATTAATAACAAAATTGATTTCTATCAAAACTTGCTTAGATAAGTAAAACCATAATCATATTATTTCATATTAAAAATAAACATTTAAAAACTTTGATAATACAAAAGCTAAGACATCTTATTCTTAAAATTGAAACAGTACATCTTTACCCAATCTCCAAAAAAAATTTTAGTATTTTGATTCTGATTTATGTAGGTAGCTTGTTTGATCAGAAGTTAATATTAATAAATGTTACAATAACAGTTAACATTCACATACTTACTCATGTGTGTGTGTGTGTGTCAATTTCTATAGAAAAGAACATTACTAAAAATGTAAAGAAAAGAAAAAAACATTACAATATTTTGAGAGTAATATAGTTTTCAGTCACAGTTAAAAATAGTATGAAAAGATATATGTTGTACATGTGTTAAGCCTATAACAATATATATGTTCAGATGTAGTAACCTATTTGTATGACCAACCCAGGATCAAACTTGAGCCTCCAACCACACCAAGCAAGTACTCTATCAACTACATTAAAGGGGTAAACCACAAGCTAATACTAGTAATGCCCTTGTAAACAATCAAACTACTACATTCTTCCTCTATCACAAAAATGCCTATCCTTGCCATTGGCCTTATCTCAGAAAGACCACGAGCTAAGACAACAATTTTTGTGGCAATTCAACATTTGTATAATCCATGAGTGGAATTCAACATGGAACCACTCACATTACAAATGACTGCTCTACCAACTGATCAAAAGGGTTATCCCACTATGTAGTATTAGAAGGGCACTTTCTAACAGTTGAATCTACTTTATCACACAGAATATTGATACGACAGCGGAAGTCATATGACACTGCTGATGAGTTTCTCGAATGATCGGGGAAGTCCAAATGTGTTCAAGATGCCCTCTTTGTTAGTATATAGGCCTGGCGAAGAAAGCCAGCGGAGTTAATGAATGAACAGAGAGCAGTAGTTACTTTGAGTTCCGTGTAATTTATGATTCTGTTAGTTTCGAGCTAGTGAGTCGTAAAGTGTTTTTGCACTCGTTGAGAGCGAAGTTATCGAGATTGTGAATCGCTGTGATTTATAGCGTGTATTATAAAAGTTGTTAAGTTTAAAGTGACGAGAAAAATACTGATTGTGGAACTTCTGTGTACTAAAAGTTGTATCGAGGAAGAATAAACTGGTTTAATCAAGAAAGGACTTGTATCACTGAATATCCTCGGAAAGAATTTCTACCGGAAACAAACAAATAAGCAGATACGTAACAATATTATATTTTACAAGCTTTATAAAAATCAAAGCAAAAAGTACACACTTTTCTTTTAGCAGCAGGATCAGACAAGCAGTCCCTATCAATATGTTCTCCAACTGTAATGTCTGGTGGCTCTCCACGTTTCACTGAGACTGGCTTATTACACAGTGGACAGACAGGAACTTGAACATCCTTCTGGTATGCTTTTTCACAATTATGCTGACCATAAGGAAAATGGTCTTTACTAAGAAGTAACATAAACCATAGCTTTTATTAGTCGCAATCACGTACAAAAACATAATGTTATTGTTATCAATATGCGTTTACTTAAAAATTTATAAATAAAAGTTTTGTAAAAACAAAATAAACAATATCACAAAGACATAAAATGTTTTTACAAATATCCCTCAAAACATACTTGTATTTGTTATTTTTCAAAACAAAGAGAAATTCAGAGAACTGACTAATTGGAAATTATAAGTGTATTTCATGGTGATTATTTTACTTTCTCATTCTCATGCCAGTACAGCATTTAAAAACACGCAACAATAATAAAATCAAATTGAAATATTAACACAAAGATCTAATTTACTTAATATATTTTGCTTCAGAAATAACATTTTATTAATGCTAGTTTAGATGATTGTTGGCCAAATCTAGACAATCATATATCATATGTTACTTTTAAGACTTCTAAATATTTCCTTTCCTTCCTGTGGTAGATTAGTTGGGCAACAAAAATCTTCATTTACTGGATCTGATGCAGACACTTAAAAATTTCTTGGCAAGTTGGCAACTAATAAAGGAGTATCAATGATCTTAAGGATAAGTGATTTTAATTTATGAATATTTCATTCGTCAGGCTTTTTCCTGTTGCTGATTTTGCTTCTTTAAACAACAAAGGGATTTGGTAACTGAGTATAGTTTCTTAAAGAATAGTAAAACATTGTGCAAGGAAATTTCCATATGTATCATACTGTAGAGTTAATTCTGCTATAGCATTCCTATTACTTGGACTTTTTACATTTCGTAAATTCTCACTGATTTTTAATCTTGAATTGTTCAACCCATTTTTACACTACTTAAGTGTCAGAGCATTTTAGTCAATCAATTAAACACACTTAAACATATGATTATAATTTTTGAAGTTAACAATACATGTACATATGTGTATACCTTATCCTACTGTGTAAATGGATCAGTAATTAACTGTTAATTCTTATGATGGTCAAACATACTTTGTTATTATGTATTCATCCTTATGTAACTTTCCAACTTAACTCATAAAAAACAATAACATGAAATTATTAACTTCAAGCACATAATAATGTTTACAAAAAGTTAATATGACTTACCAAAATATCTTACTACATGCATCACACTTCATTGGCAGGAAATCTGGAAGATATCTTAGAAGTTAAAATTTTGTTTACATGTGGCACAATTCAATATATTTTTTTTAAATTTCAGCTTAAATGTAACACTTCACATCTATATAATTATCAAGACAAAATTTAAGAGAACTAACTGCATAAACCATGCTAATCTCATCAACAGGCAAACAATGTCACAAATTCATAAATATAACAGGAAAAAGCTTTTGTAAAACAAAAGTTATAATTTTCCTATACTGAAAATGTATTTCACAGATATAGCTGTTCTTGTTCAGTGTTGCCCTTTATATGCAAAAACGTTTTCACATTCCACAAGCCTTGAACTCCCATGATCAACATGGTTCAAATGCATCTCGCATTTAAATTATCATGCAACAATCTTCCACTAATATGAGTGCAACACACCCTCCTGATGCATGTAACTCCCTCTGTTCAGTTCTACTGAACTATCACTTCTAGTTTTTGCAAAAGATAGGAGTACCAGTTTTCAATGGAGAGGAAGGGTGGGAAATGTGACAAGAGGTAAGCACATATCGGAATATTATAACTTCCATTATGGTTCATTACCTCCACTCACATATATAGCTAGAATCTCACATTGAACAGGTGGAGGGACCAGTGCAAGGGAAAGAAAGAAGCATCAACAAAAGTGTCCAAAGAACACCTAAAAGGGGGAGATCCTTACAGTAGAGGATCATATGTGGGAGACCACACCAGTTTTGTAGGAGGTATACTCTACACCCAGGAAGAGAAAATGGTTAAATTGTGATCCGATTCACCTGATATTGGAATCTCAATCCCTTTGTTGACAGTAATGTGGGTGAGAGTAAAAAAAAATTTACCCCAAGGTGTAGAGTGACTAGGGTGCAAGGGACTGTACATGGCAAGTCAACTGCATCCAAAACCCAGCCACCGGGAACTTAGCTTCATGTGGGGGTAGGGTGAGAATCATACTGTTGGTAAGTCAACAGCAATCCAAAGCCCAGCCATCTGGTGGAGGGAGAAAAGAGGATCATACCATCTTCATCTTAAGTTAAGCAGACCGGAGGGAGATATCACACCACTGATCTGTGAATGGGGCACCTAATAACAAAGTGATAAAGTGTTTTACCGATCTGGGAATCCAACATCTAAATGACTGGAATAATAAAAACATCCCAGTATTGTGAAATATCCCATTCAAAACCAATCAGACAGGAACCACCCCAGTGCAATAACATTCTCAGTATATGAAAATCATTGATAGTGCATGAGGAAGAACTGTATTAACCTGTATGTTCATCCACCATGACCCACAGTATGGTAGCAGTGAACACGAGTCCAATTGAGTGAGAAAACAGAGACATCTGTAATACATGTGTGAGGACTTATGTTGATTGGTCCAGCTCTGAAACCGAAACCCAGCTACTGGGAACCAACATCCATGTGGGGTAGGATGAGGAATCCCAATCAAAGAGGAGAAATAAAATTTTGACGGTTCACTCCAAAGCTATAACATTCCCTCAGATAAACCCATTCAGAGATGGAGTATCAGATTGGAGAACATATCATCTACACCAACAGAACAACACTGCCCCACTCTCAACTGAATGGATTCAGTATTGTTTGCATCATATATATCAATCACATTCAGGAAAATGCCTCCATGGTCCACTACTCCAGCAGCTTGGAATTGAAATGTGGTAAGAAAAGAAAAGCGGGGAGAAAACAAGGTGCAGAGTCCAGAGGAACATCAACACTGAAGACAATGTAACAGGTGAACACAAAAACCTATTTTGAAAAGCAGACTGCTCCTGATTTATTCAATCTAAGGAGTGACACGGATAGGCAATTATCCCCTTCTGCTTTATCTATGAAGTCCATGGATTAGTACGGTCTGGAATGGGCATATTAATAAAGCAAATATTTTGCAAGGAAAACCTATGAGCAATCTTGCAGAACACCCCATCTCAACAGTGTACATTTAGTGGCCATGGAAATTATAATTGTTAAGTCAATAATGACCTTACAGCATGGATTTGACTAGTTTAAGTATACCTGGACAGGCACCACTTACTACAGAGCAGAAAAAAGGGACATGCCCCTGAAAAAGAAAAGGAATATATACAAAAGATAACTTACCCAGTCACAGCCCCACTGAAGAATGGCAGTAGGTGGAAGAAGATAATTTGACAAGGAAGAAACAGCTATCCCATGCAGGTAGTGAGAGATGAATGTATGTGGTGTGGTTCACATGCCAGATTGAAGAACTTCCTCCAATGGACGAAGGAGATGAGACACCAGGGAAAAGGTAAAGTGCCTAATCTGATCAGAATACAACTGGAGCAAATTACGGGAAGAAGAAGACAAGAAAAATTGAGCTAATCGAATTAAAAGCCAAGCCCAATTAGTAAGAGTGGAAGGAGAAAGGTCACAAACAGAGGACAGTTGCCATGGAATGAAGATGTGGGAATGGGCACCATGGAAGGAAGCCATGTAGGCAATAGAGCAAAGAAGAGCACATACGGGACATAGTAGTATACCTGGATTAGACTAGGAACATAGGTGGGAAATGAAAGGAAGGGACATCGGTGAGAAGGAGAAATTACCTCCTGAGTTGCCAAAGTTTTGGGAAGAAAAGATCAATCTGGATACGAACATACTGGATACATACATAATCTGGATTAGAACATACGTGGAATGATATAGTGAATGTGAAACATCGATGGCAAATAAACCCGACTGGCAACGTCCACAGGCCAGGAGGAGAAGGAAATAAGTCTTAGGGATAATTGAAAATTCAAACACAAGGACAGAGGTTCAAAGGGAGGTAAAGTAAAGCATTGAAGAACCACATTGACATCCCAATCTGGAAGGGCCACACCCTGAGGAAGTCAACTAATTCAGAAGGAAAGCAACAACAGTGAGAGGGAAGAAGAGGTAAAAACTTTATGGTACCAGAAAAAATGAAAAGTGTGGGAAAAACAGCCTGATAACCTGTGAATGAGGAGACAGAAGTCCCCTGATCAAACAGTTAAGTGAGGAAATCTGTAAGAAGAGGAATGGTGGGTCGAGCAAATGAAGACTCCCTACCAGAAGACCATTGGTAGAAAACATTCCACTTATGTTCATAAACATCTATAGAGGAAAGACATATAGAATGTGCTTAAAATGAAGGGCTCACCGTAACCAACCAGATCTCCTTATAAAGAATCGATTAAAAACCAGGCATGAGACAAATGGTGGGAAGGGGTGGATGAAATGTTGGTGACTGAGGTTAACATAGAAGGAATGAAGTAAGAGGAAGAGGTAATGTTGGGGCAGATTGGAGCTGGAGCAGCAACAGAAACTATGTTGGGCTGGCCAGTAACAAGCAATCAGGAGGACTTGACACAGAATAGTGTGGATGCTCAAAAATCACCCTGGGAAGGAGAAAGATAGGAGGATACACATAAAGTTATTTATTGGCCCAATCCTGGCTGAATGCATCGACAGCTAATGTGAGTGCATGAAGAACCAGAAACCAAAACAGAGGTAACTTGATATTGAGGGATGTGACAAATGCATCCAGGTGAGGAGTACCCCACTGAAGGCATAGCAAATGGAAAATGTCAGGATTGAGAGACCACTCCATCTGAAAACTTTTGTTCTGTTGGGAAAGATGATCCAGGACAAGGTTGAACGCACCTGGAACATGACACACAAAGAGAAAAATACTGAGCGTGGGGGCCAAAAAAAAGGAGATCCAAGGTTTGACCACAAATGGAACAAGAACAGGTGCCGCCTTGGTGATTGATTTAAGTTACCACCACAGAATTGTCAGAATGGATCATAACCAAACAATTCCTAGCACGATAAAGAAAATGATCCAAAGCATGATGTATGGCCAGAAGTTTCAGGATGTTGATATGGTAAGACCTCTCGGCCGGAGACCACTGACCTGAAGCTCCCTGCTGATCAACCCAAGCCCCCAGCCATGGAGGGAAGCATCCATGAAGATATGCAAATCTGGATGAAGGGAAGGAAGCAGAACATCCACCAATGTGTGGGCCTTGTCCAACCACCAATGCAGATTGTCAACAAGGGAAGGAGGAAAGAAAATAGGAGTATCCAAGGGATCCTGCGCAAGGTTCCATTGGTTGTGCAGAGTCCACTGAAGAGACCTCATATGCACTCAACCCAAGAGGTTAAGGGTTTCCATAGAAGACCACATTCGCAAAAGTAATAGCACTTCACAAAAAGTAACAGAGGGAGCAGTTAGAGCATGGAGAACTTAAAGATCCATCAATGGGGTCAAAAAAGGAGAAGGATGGGCCCAATTTAGATGAATGTTGAAAAATACCTCCAAGTGACTGAGATATTTGGTAGGTATAAGGAATTACTTCTGGACCTTGATTAACCAACCCACATGAGCTGCCTCCAAAAGAAGCAGATGAGTGTGATGGGCAGACTCCCATTTGGAACAAGTTAACAAAAGCCAGTCATCCATGTAATGGTGCAAGTGCAACCTCCGAGCATGCGTATGTTGGGCAAAAGCCTTGACCACTCAACAAAAGACATATGCGTCCAAAACAAGCCAGAAAAGTAGGCTGCAAAATTGATACACTACCCCGTGATGAACAAACCAAAGCTAGCGCTTCGACTGACAAGATGTAGGAATATGCAGATAAGCATTCAAGATGTCTGCCTTGACCATCCATAGACCTGGAGAAAAGGCCCACCTCATAAAGTGTGGAATAACCAGAAATTGATTGAGGTGGAACAGATCAATCATAAGCTGCCAGTCTCTGGTTTTCTTGGGTACCACAAACAGCTTGAAATAAAAATCTGGAGAAGGATGAGGTACAGGTTTGATGGTTTTCTGGGAGAGAAGATTGTGTACTTGCTCAGACAGACATTTGGTGGTAGGATCCCGAGGCAACAGAAAGGATATGGCTACCCAAGATAACGAAGGAAGTGGATAATATCCAAATAACCCAAATATCTGTTGTGAAATCACGTAACAAGGGAACAAAATTGGTCAAG